CCTAGAGCGAAGGGATATTCTCACAGGGACACTTAACTTTCCGCGCAACCCTACCCGAAGAGGGTAGTTTATCCAAAATAGCTATAAGGGATCGCGTGTAAGAAGAGAAAGTAAATCTCTACTTCAATCATAAATTCTTCTCTTGCAAGATAAACAACAGTTTTGTTACAAAGGTTTCCCCATGATCGATCTGGTTGCAACCACACTTCCAACATCTGCATCTGTGTGTACCTTAGCTGTATGCAGAGGAAAGTTTATCAACTTCTTGAGCAGCTGATAAACATTGTCGCAATGACTTTGAGAGCTTCGGAAGCTCTCACTGTCAGAAGCGTTCCATCCAATGTCTAACTTCTGACTAGTGCCGCAGTGCTGCTGTAACTTATTCCTTAGGTGAATATATAGTGAACGGTATAGGACTCCATTAGATATGCCTCAAACGAAGCGATTAACCGAAGCATTCAGCGACGCCAAAGCAAAAGGAAACATTGACGGGCTCCCGCCCTCTGCAATTTGTTCATGTATTCACGCAAGGTTTCAAATAGGGGATAAAGGGGGACTCGTGGCTTTCCTGCGCTAAAATGACGAACTCGTAGCTTTCCTGCGCTAAAATGAGGATGTACACATGTGCAGGCGAAGCCGAGGCTGGAAAGGTGTGTCCTCCGCAGAAAACCTGCGCGATCAGCGCATTACGGTATGTTATTTTGAGCATTTAACTTCTTCTGGTAAACCAATACGCCGTGTCCACGGAGACGTTCGGTGAACAACGCTTTCCCTTCTTTTTTTTTCTCGAAACATGAGATTTACTACGTTACATATTCTCTGTTACCACCGGGGTTATTCGTTGTTCATACATATGTATGAATCCTGCTGCACACATCTGTGTCGCCTACGCAACACCAAATGGCAAATGCGCGTCATCTTCCTCCGCCCAATCGGCTCCGAACCGGTACAAATTTTCACAAAGTGAAGACTATATTCAAAACTTCTGCGAGCCACTTCGTCCCGAGTCTCGATCTCACACTTCGTTACCGCATTCCTCTATCACTTTCTTTTCTCCAGTGCTACAGATTGATTTTCACTGCATCTCATTTCAATAAGTAGCAGCATATCCACTGAAAACACTGGCTCACAAAAAGAGCCATTTGTCTGCAGCAGAGGTCAACGTCAAACGATTGGCAATTAGAGATTACTTTCGATAAGAGCTATAAAATGAGTAACAGGGTTTCATTTATAACTGAATACGTGACTTGCACGCGGTATTTGACGGCAACTCATTTGCAAACGTTTGCTGAGGAAAAAGGGCAGTTTTGAATGTAACTGCTGTAAAAATGTCTAAATTGTAAGTATTTTTCATTCCAAAAGAGAAATTGGAAGAACTCTGCGACAACTAATAACACAAAGTCGTGGAGCATCGCGCGTGTTGTGCAATGCACATATAACATTACAACTAGCTCGCTTATAGTAAAGCTAGAACTATTTCTTATCATAGGAAATTTTGCGTTGCTACTCAAAAAATAGCAAACTTGCAAAGACCGGGCATGTTTAATTTCATAAATTCAAGCTTTTCAAAATGGAAAATCGCTCTAGGAAAAAGTATGACAAATCAGCCCAAAGGGGGTGGGGCATACATCTCAAAATGGGCGTGGCATGAGATTTCAGAGCACTTCTGACCATTTGAAAAGCAGATAAAGCACGAGAAAAGTAAAACAAAAGCAAATGCGATCACATGAGTCACTCTGCACAAAGATATTCACCCACTGCATGTGTACCTTGTGTTCAATGACAGATGAAATAAGATACCATAGGGCAGAAATGAGAAGATCAGATTCCAGCGGGATGCGGAAGAGGGTGGGAAGAGAGCAAAAGCAAAAATCAGAAACCAGATAAACAATTGCGAACAAGAACAGCGCACAACTATACAACCATGCTCTCATGTTCCCGAAAAGCCCCATTTATGGAGAATGGATCGAAAACCACTCCACGCACCTGGCGTTTGTGTGTTGTCGTTCCGGAAACGCGTGACGACGACGAAGAGGACGTTCGCCAATTAGCGCGCATTGTGTCGCACGTTTTAGGCTAAGACAACACGCGGAAGCCAGAGATAGCTGGGTGATCGAATCGTGGTGTGTGTGATTTGCTCGAGCCGCATCCAACCTCTCCAGCATGAGTGCAAAGGGGGTCAGGTGTTATTTTGATCATTTCGCATATGACAGGCGCCACGGGGGCAACACACTCGCTAAACAACGAAAAAACGCGCGAGCAGAAGCGGTAGCGCTTCACAAAGCACTCAACGCGCCGCTTTTCACTCGACGTCCAACGGTCGTCGAAAAAGCAAACTGGCCTCCGACGATTCGCGTGACACACTCGAACTGCGCACAGCGTCAGTGTGCTGCTGTGCAAGTGTGACAGCTAGGCATACACATCGATTTCAAAAATATATCGCCGAGTTCTATTTAATGGAAGTGGGGTGAGTTGGCATTAAAAAACTGAAGTCGGAGCAAGATACAAAACCTAAAATATGAGAAAGCAGCAATCTCAATTTAGAAAAAAATCAAGAATATGGAGAATGCAAGGAGATGATCTACGTGGACATCTGCGACAGACCATGCAGCCATGCAAATTACGGGCATTACAGATTTGTGTCAGCTGTCCACGCGGGGTGGAGCCTATCGGCAACATATAGTCCCCTGCCCTCTTGAGAGCTGACCCAAAAAGAAGTGGCATAGACCCCAAGGGGGGGGAGGGTGGGGGAGGAGGATGACGTGGTATAACGAGGTTCCGAACGGTTTTACAAAGCTATTGTTCTTTACGAAAAAAAAAACCATACATGCGCAAAACAAAAATTCCAGTTTCAACTTTTTGAGAAAATCGTTCTGAGGCTACCATCGTCTCATATATGAGACCCCCCCCCCCCCTCAAAAAAAAAACAGTTCCACAGAAATTTTCATCAATAGCCATACTGCATTTAAGGAAGGTCTACACGGCAAACGTTTGTTACAAGTACACTGTATTAACCAAAAAATGATCAATGCCAAAAAAGACCAAGAAACCGCTTCTCAATAGACCCGAGAGACTCATTATGAGATTTCTCAAACTCTTGAAGGCTGATAATAAACCAATGTAATACGAAGCATTCCAATTTAAATACGTTTGAACATATGACTTACTCTAGGGATCAAAAATTGGCAACAAACACTACACACCAAACAATGCGGTAACTTGCGTCAACACACAAGTATGCAGGGTGGAGTACCATCAATCCCGCTAATCCAACAGGCTGAGGCCACATTTGCAGAGGGAAAATTGAAAAGGACGAAAAGATGGTAGGAGACAAAACATTCAATGATTACAACACAGCAATTTAATAGATTTCTTCGAAAATATAATTGGTCAAAGGTAAAACTTCAAAGGATCAAGATTCCGCATCAGTTTTCGATTTTACGGTGATTAACAAGGCAAAAAAAAGCTATACCACCAATCATAAATGCCAACAAAACTTCTCGCTTCAAAAATCGAAAACAAAAGACGTAACGTTAATTTGTCACAGGTTTGAAGGATTCCTGTGCGGGAAAAAGTCTCTATGCCTAACAAGACCTCCATATTCAAAAAGATAAAGCAATAGAAGAACTTGCTTGATGCAGCGATGCGCAATCAGATTGTTCGATGCACATCAGAGCGTGACCTTCACACTTTCACAGCCGAGTGAACAATCCAACAGAGACAGAAGACAGGAAGCAACGAAAGAAGCTGTCAGAAAAATTTTTTCTGTTGCAGCTGACAGATGTCTACAGTTCAAAGCTAATGGAGGTGACATGGTATCGAAGAGAGATTTGCTACCGTAGTTTTCGATCAAACAATCAAGCAAAGGTAACGGGAGTAGGCTAAAAAAATTGGCTGCCCTCGTCAATTCAAAATAGGGTAAATCTTCAAGTATAGGAGGTTGGATTGTGGAAGGAGGCTGGATTTATAAGCTCAATATCAAAAAGTTTTTCAAATTCAAAAAACGACAGAGCTGACGTGCACTTATGGCAGCGACAATCACGAGGTTTTTTTTTTCAGAAGAAAAATAAAAAGAAAAAGAATTTTTTCAAGGACACGTGTCATCATGTGCTGAAAATGCTTTTTCGTTAAACTACTCGAGTTCGTAAGCTAAAAAGCTCATAATGACTGAAAGCCAAAACCAAAAAAATCTGCTAGAGATTTTTACTGTTCACTTGCATCTTTGTAATCTCCCTTTTCCCGTTTTCCACTGCCTAATGATGCACTTACAAAAAATAAACTTGTGATGCACTCTGTCAAAATCCTATTCGTCGAGAAATTTCGTCATTTTAAATCATTTTACCAAAAAACAATCACTTGCGGCTTCTTTGCTTTTTAAATCATCATCCCATTAACAAACCCTTGATTGGAAGGCACTACAGGTTCAACATCAAAATAGACCAAAAAGCAAATCTCAGCAAGTAAACTCCATAAAAACTCAGTAAAATATGCATGACTATAAAAAACTGCGCCGTATGGTCTACGGCTGATCGCTGGTCCAGACAGACCAGTTCGGAAGTCCGCGACGCATTCGTGGGCTTGATGAAAGAACAGGAGGCGAAGCAACGGTAACGGAGTCCTAACTAGTTTGAATCGCTTACTTGTTATAGACAATGGTACTTGAAGGTGAAAGAGAGAAGACGGGGGGGGGGGGGGAAGGGAGGGAGAGGGGGACAGAGATTTAGCAGTATGATTTTTACTGAAGGGAAAGAAACCGAACATTTGTGGGAAGACATATTCGTGTTACAACAATTGCCCATAAAAAAGTGCCAAAATCAAGAAAATAGAAAGTCAGGAATATAAACTTATTTTGCGGCAAACTGTAATGCACCTTTCCAAGTCGGCCATATCGATCAATATGATCGTTAACTCGAACAAATCGAAGAGAAAGAACGAGTTTTCCGTACAAAGAAAAAGCAAAAAAGGAACATAACAAAAAACGATAACAATAACAAACTCACCGGAATCTCTACATTGAACCATGTACCATAATAACGCGGCCGTTCACCAATTCTGTTAATACGCCCGGTGTACATTTTGTCAAAATCCTGTAAAAAAAATCACTTTGCATTTCTGTCTATGCGCCGCTCTAGACATGAATCATCTGCACAACAATATACGAATCATAGCTGACATAAAAATGACAAGGACAGCTCTTTCAGACATTTGTGGAGCTGTCAGTTGAACACTTGGGAGTCAAAGAAGAAAAGTGAAAGAACTCGTGATGGGAGGAATGAGAGTGAATCACAATGTCGTGTCTTGTTTCGGCACAAATGAATTGATGGGTGAGGGGGGGGGGGCTGCCAACAACAAGTTCGGCAGCGGCACAGCAGCGTGGACGGGTGTGGTCGCGCCCGCTAACCGGGAGTGAAAGGTGATGGAGGAGAGCGTTGGAATGTGCAGGGGGGGGGGGGGGAGCGAAGAGATTCTCGTGATGCGCGGGAAGTGATGTCATGTCATACGATGTGTTGCAGCTCCGTTCGCATAGTTACATTTTTGATTCATAGACTGGCTTCGGGGAGGGTGAAAGACTTCTTTTTAATCTATGATACTTTACGGTAGATCGAGGGAGATGTGCGTAATCCTAGCATGATCTACTAAAAAAAGGGCAAAAAGGCACAGCACACTCCCTATCACATCACAATCAATCGATCAAAGTTAAAATTAGATCAATCATTTTTTTTTTGCAAAGCCAAGGTCATCACAAGACAGCCTTCAAGTGATAGGGCAATGAACTATTCGACAAAAAAAGCAACAAAAATCGTACATCGTACAATTTTTAGAAAAAAAAATGAAACAAATGGCTTTGTGCAAATAAAACAAGACTTTAAGACAATAAAGAGCAGTTGCAATGCCCATTAACGCCATTTTTGAGCTAAAAAATTATCAGCACCCATCAAGTGAAGACTCGTATCAATTTTATGGGCAGAAAATGAGTAACAGGTCAGAAAACACTTTCAAGGATGGCTTCGTTAATAGTCAAACAGCAGTATAGCAGTATACTGAGATCACGACCTCGAATTTTCTGAGATAAAAATGAAATAAATGCGATTACATGAGGTTCTACTAAAGCGCTTCAGAAACAACACCAAGACACGCCATGAAATACCATTAAAGGCAGCGTCCAGGCAAGCCTGGACACATGAGGATCTCACGTGGATAGTAATTTTGGGGCCCTAACTAAGCCACTGCCCAACCGGCAGCTCAGATAGTGCTCTAACGGCTGAGGTATTCCCCTCGAAACTGGACCCCGCAATCGTATTTCGCATGGATTCATGGCGCAAAGCATGGATCCTGGCACGAAACTGCCACGAATCTATGCAAATACGATCGCGGGGTCCGTTTCGAGGAAAATATCCGAGCTGTTAAAGCACTAACTGCGCTGCCGCTTGGGTAGTGCCTTAGTTAGGGCCCCAAAAGTGCTTCCCACGTAAAATCCCCATAGGTCCAGATCTGCCTGGACGCTGCCTTTAATGCCTAAGACATCTCTCGATTCTACAGGTGCTTCAGAATATGCATTTTAAGAATAAAAAACATTTCATAAATGATAAGCATAAGTTAGAGAACTACACATTAGTAGTAGGCTCTAGCAGCAAAACGGCTGCATTTCCAGATATTCACAACGATGTGTATTCAGACCACATGCAAAACAATCTGAGATTTCATTTTGGCGCCAATTTGTATAGATCCACATACGAGAGAGACTCCCTTGTCCTCAAAACGGAATGGAAGTTCTGCCAGAATATACTCTCCCCTGCGTATAAAAAGCTTCCCATATTGCGCTACGCATCAAACACTTGTCCTATATGCCGAACAAGTTCGCACTATAGACATCAGCGCGCGACAGAAAGAAACAGACAAGCAAATAAATTTGTAACCGTCTCGCAAACATTACTCGTTCCAGTTACATTTAGTTGCTCGCAGAAACAATAATCAATAAATGAAAGGAAGCACTTTTTGATCCTCTAACAACTTTACACTTAGCACTTACGCACATCCGCTGCATCAGGTAAACAGCTATTCGAGAAAAAGATCTGAATAAAACCCATGGAATGTCGAAATTCGCTTCAACAACGGCGACGACGACTTGACAGGCAACATTGATAAACAGACAGTTGAATAAACGCGCGTGACTAACGAAAATGAGAGTGGGGAATGGTGAAAATACCAACGAACGCAGACACAATAGACGGTACCAGTGAAAGTGCAGTGGCAACGTAGTCAATAAAGGAATTCAAGTGGGCTGCGTTGTACAAGTGATAGTGAAGCAAACACACTTCTAACTTTTAAAGTTTCGAGTGAACGAAACTTTTGCAAGCGCTGCAAATTGTCAAAACAGACACTTATATGTTCTGAAGAGGACCGAAAATGCCACAAAACCCTTCAAAAACGCTAATACAGCGGAGTCAACCTCAGATTTTTAAACAACATTTTGGATAAGGGAGCGTTCGAGCCGAAAAGGGGCATAATTTCCGCGAAGTCGATCATAGTGCCGCTCTTTTCTACCCTGCTTTAACTAGCAAAACACATTCGAGTACATATTTTTTTCATGCTGACGCATGCACCAAAAAAAGCTTACTCCCAATTCGATCAATTATCAGAGGACATTCCAGAGAATGAAAAATTAACGCATAAGCCATATCACTGTTATGAAGCTGCAAAACATTGTCACTTTTCACTAAAAAAAAAACCTAAGAAGTAACTTCGGCGTGCATAACTGGATAGTTTGCAGTTTACTGGACCTAAGGACAAGCCTTGCAGCGTTTCCCATTTATGAAATTTGAAAATGCGCGATATAATCAAAGAATTTGAAAATAATCACTGTTTTTGTGATCTGCGTAAAAATAAGGCTCGAAACATAAGGAGAATCTAGTAGGTTCTGGAAACTTCGGTGCCAATTTACAAACCATACCCACTGGGTTCATTGTTGAATACGGCTACAGAAACCGGTTTATAGGGTATGGAAGACCCCTGAGTCTGATTCCGAATAGCTGCGTTTAGCTCGGGTGAATGAAGCAACTTAAATGGCCTCGTTTAACTACCCTGTTCTAACGGAAGTGATACTGACACTATCAGGAGCAAAGTTTGAAAGAAGTGCAATCGCTCGAAAACTGCGCATCAGTTGGCATGCAGCCAACGATAGGGCAGTACCATAGAGCAAGTAGAACATTCGTCATTCGTTACGAAACAATCTCAAGAGTAAAGCGGATAGAATTCGGAGTGACAAATATATTACGAAACACGTAGGTGGAGTGGAACACCTGATGCTTTCGAAAAAATGTAAATTTTGAGGTCATAGGGATTTGGAGGAGAGGAATTACCGTGCGTAATCTTTGAGTTACAAATGAGTCATACCTCTTGAAAGATAAAAATGCACATGTAAACAGTCGTAAAAACTGAATGTCAAATTGATATGACCTCGGAAGAAGCACAAAGTCACGCATTCTTTCGAATACGTCAAATGAACGAGCATTTCCCCCTTCTCTTCTGCTGTGCGCCAGATTGCTGCACGAAACTAACGGAAACAATGAGGCTTCTGCAAGAAAGCTGAGTCAACGCAGGATTCGCGCCACAACAAAAAGACTTTTGAATTGAGTTGCGAAATGTGGAAACAACGAGAAATTTCCCAGACTACCGTTTGTAAAAACATTACGGACTAAAAATGCTTCAAGAACCAACTACCTAAGAAATAACATGTGGGACGATAGAAAACAATGATTTGATAAACAAACTCACAACATGATAGGAGAAAAGCACAAACCTCAACGCGAACGATGTCACCTGTGCCAAGACCTCTGATAAAATCGAACCACTCAAAATCGTGGTAAAGTTGAACACGACGTTCGGTGTCCAATACGCCGAGAAGCAACCTAGAGATAAAACATTTAAGACCCCTGTTTTGGTAAAAATCAATGATAAAGGATAAAGTCAGCAACATGCAAAAGACTGCGATAACGAGTTCCTAGAATCAAACAGAAAGGAATGCGGTAACAATGTTGACATTAGAGTCAATAGCTCAAACGATGCTGAAGAGCTATTGATTTTGCGTTTTTCTGCATTTCAAGATAGTGCGAAATGGTTTGCTGAGTATACAAAGTCAAACTAGCTTTATAGACCAACCACTCTTCAGACATTCTCGAAAACGAGAAAAAAGCCTGGAGCACGGCAACTCAACTGGTTACACTCGAACAACTGACTAAAAGAAAGATCGTGATAATCTTAAAGGGCTCAAAATCTGGAGGTATACTAGGCTCAGTACGAATTAACTGAAGAATTTCATAAAATAATATCACAAGCTGATACTCCAGAAAGTCTGAACGCTCAATATGAAAGCTTGAGAAGAAAACAGATAGAAAGAAAAGACAAAAAAATATTTATTGATAGAAAATGGACTAAAAATATCCATTATTTGGTTTAGGAAAAAATTCCAAGTTCTAAAAAAATTGGGATGAAAACACCAACTAACTCTTGAAAGCGAGACAACATCGATTATCATTCACTCACATTGCTTGATCGTCAGTCAATCGCATAACATTAGTCTTCGGTACGACAGCGTAGACATTCGCGCAAAGGACATCACGGCCCAATAGGGCATCCTTTCGTCGAAGTTCACCTTGTTCTCGTTTCAAATAGGCAATCACCCGCGGATCATCAAGTTCCGAGAGTGGCTTTAGCAGAGTACCTCGCTCAATCTGAATTTTGAATTCAAATCATACTTTTAATTATATTAAGTGTAAGTAATTTTGAGCAAAATGCATTCAATTATAGGCGCTTCATCGCACGCAAAGACTGGACGCCACTGCGGCCGAGAGATAGTTCACGCACTGGAGAGATGTCAGACGACAAGAGGAACACAAGAGCACTCGATCAGAGAGATACAGACAGTGCCCAGTGACGTGAAGTCTTTGCGTGCGTTGAAGGGCTTATATTCATAGTCTTCTCAAGTAGAAAAACCAAAAACGATTTTCCAAAAAAAGACAAATAAGCTTCGAAAACAAAATAAATGGAGCAGAAAAGACATTATTTGACGAACTAAACTTATCGGAAGAAAAGAACTTAAAATGTCAGACCACCCAATACCTGGATTTTTTCGGGCTCTTTTTCAGGTTCGTACAGATCGAATCTGAATCCACCAGTTGAACGCTCCAACAAGGCTATGGAGGACTCGTCTGGTGAATATCGACCATTCCTGTAAAGGCTGCTGCAGCGTTTAGCAATAACCAGACTAACAGATAAAAATACAAAACGAAGGGTTAAAACATTCTCTCATGCTTCAAATCACAACTCATTACAAAAACAGAAAGTAAAAAAAGAAAAAAACAGCGAACACAGCGATTTTTGACTGACCCATTCGGCATCGGAGCACTAACATCAACCAGTTTCGCATCTCTTTGGAAATGGCTAGCAACTTCAGCGTTATTCGCATGGTTCTCAGCATTGTATTGCTCCAAAGAAGAAAATCTACTTGGTACAGGAGGAGACTCTTCAGAGGCATGGAGCAGGCCGTTCTGTAAGGCAACGAGACCTTCAGACTTTTCATTCACACAAAGTCATTTATGCATGAAATGAAAAGTTTAATAACTTACAGCTATCTCCTCTACATCTAGGTCTAGCAGAACGCCATCCCAAATTTCTTCGTCGGAATGCACCAAAGTCGGTCGTGGCCGCGGTGAAGTGCCTAGCATGACAGAATGGCATACACAAGCACCACCACCCAAAACTTTATTCTAAGAATTGGAGTATCTGAAAGAAGAAAACAATTACCGATTCAAATTAACAACGAAAAACGAGCAAGAAACGGCTATGCGTAGTGAGCCCAAAGGTCGACAGCGATATCTTTGCTTGGCTAGATTATGAAGCAAAGAAACTTCCATTATGATGCACAGGAGCAGCCTTGAAGGCTACTATAGTGTTCTTGCCAACAACATCTCTGCGCATCAAAAATCATTGGTACCGACCTGGAGATGTCCGCTCTATGTTTTTTTTTGCGCGAAAATGTCATCGACACAGCAAAGGGACTATATTTGACTGTCCAATCTAGTGGACTGTACTGTGGGATTAAGTCCACCGGATAGCATAGCGCACAGTCTATTACTAGAAGATGGCGCAAATCAGGTTTCAAAGATGAAGAACTATAGTTGAGTTAGCCTGAGCAGCTCAACTGGACGAGGATAGGTATGCCAAGCCGGTTAAGAAGGTAAGAAAAGATGAATTCTTCTATGTAATGGACTTCTCGCGATTCCAGAAATTGGTATCACCGGGACAGCTTTGAAGAGTGTGCGGCATGATCTAAGCCCGTATGCGCGTACATCCACGAGGAGAGGAAGAGATCTGAAAGGGAACGCGTCATATCTCGCTACTCTAGGTATCTTTCTTCTTTTTTTCTCTCATTTTCAAGTCATTTATAATTCTGAAAACTCAAATAAAACGCGGTAAAGTTCACGGTGGATATACAACTGTACTGTTAAGCATGTTTTCAACAAGCAAAATGGAACATGAATTCTGTGAATTTTCCGATAATCCCTAGCTGTGCTCAGGGCTCGGCACGAGCTGGCACCAGGGAAATTTCAAAACGAAGTCCCGTTTGATATTGAAAATTTCGTACGAAGTCCCTTTTGACCTGTTTTGAAAACCCGTCATCATTTTATATTATGTAAAAAAATGTAGTAGTGTTTTCATGCATTTCTGATCTCATGAAAGAACTTTTCACAGCTTTCTGAGCTTTTTAAGTGGTCGAATCACATCTTGAGAAGCAGAAAAAGCCGATTTTTCGACGGCGAAGCGGACCGAGTTATTTTCAAATTGCTATAAAACGCTGAAAAGAGAACATTATGAAATTGTTTCTTCTCTGTATGTAAACTTTTACAGTGTAGATACATTTTATGTAAAAAAGTATGAAAACTTATGTGAGCAAAGTGTCGGTGCCAGCACAGCTGGCACCCAGCTGGCACGGTGCCAGCTAATTCAGAAAAAAGTTCGGCACAGCTTTCATTCACACAAGTTTTCATAAATTTTTGGCCCGTAGTTCCGGTCCACCAACGCGTATGCACACACCAAATTTGGTGTCATACTATTGCGTTTTGGCTGAAAACAACGCCTTTGTTTATTGATGGACAGCTTGCCAATGGCATGCGGCGGCATTTTTGCGGCAGTTCTCCGCCTCGGCCCCTGTAGAAACGATATCCCCTTTGCTTTCCGCGCTAAAAACGATATCCAGCTTGACCCGGTGCCAGCTGTGCTGAGCCCTGGCTGTGCTTCATCGAAGATTCGACATTCTGAGATTTCATTAATTTCTACTTTAAACATGCTAAGCAGTGCGATACTATATCCTCAGGACCATTTTACAGCGTTTCATTGAGTTTTCAGGAATATAAGTGACTTTGAAAATGAGAGATGATCCCTTGGGGTCTCTAGGGGATCACACAAACTAATGAAAATCTAATTTTGAACGGCAGTAACCTGACATTCATTATGCACTGATATCAGGATATGGGGACCTTCATAAATAAGATAGAGAACAAAGAAGAAAGATAACTAGAGTAACGAGATTTGACGCGTCCCCTCTCAGATCCCCTCCCCTCTCCGCGGGGATGTATAGGCTGCTGCATGACGAAGGCGCAATATCTTTGGGCGCGAACGCGGCTCTAGCCGCAGTGCGCATGAGGCGCAAGATTTACTATGGTAAAGATACGTGCGCGTCGCGTTCGCGCTTGCTCAACTGCCTTCGTCATGCAAAAGCCTTTACGTGCATACGGGCTTTGGCCAATTCCAATTTAGCATGTGTGCGAATGCACACAACGTCACAGAATGCGTCAAATCCAGGATCTGATCACACGATTACTAAAGAAAACCTCAGCTGGGTGTTTCTTTAATGTCTATAAATAAAAATGCGAAAGAGACATAAACACTTTTCAGGAAGGTACGTGTCCATGCTGCGCACCAGACGCACAACCGCGCACGTGATGTTATGAAGTTGTCAGAGCGTGCACGATACAGCTGAATGATTTTTCGACTCTAAGTGGTCATCGTTTGCGAAATCTGTTTCACTTCGACACTTTCGAACAAACTCAAACATTGCAGACAAGAAGGCACATTCCGCAATTCAAGTCTAACTCCTGCGCTGGTCCCTAATCGAGCTCTTGTGTGTCACACAATCGCACAGAGTAAATGTTACTTGCATCCAAGTTGAGTCATCCACTGTGACAAATTAAAAGCATTTCGTTTCGTAACGATATCCTTGTGTATGTTTACCCCACTAATATGTTAGACATAAGATAGCCTTTCCCAAAAGTCGAGAGACGGATAGAATGGAAAATGCAAAGGGCTAAGGCTTTAGTGTAGAAGACGTACCAGGAAGGAAACTACGCAAGAACGCTGAGTAAGATAACAAAAGCTCTTGTCCGCCGCTCCAAAATGGTACTTTTTCAATCGATATTCCGCAAAAAACAAAATGTCAATATTTATGATTTTGAATCTAGATCTGAATTTCCGCAGATTTTGGTCGTTTTCTAAATTATGACTTCACAAAATTCTACTAAAATCACAGATAGTCGTCAACTTGCAACCGAAAATAAAAAACAAATTCTAGGTGCGAAGATAACGAAACAATCCGAAACCGCAGCGAGAAGCCCAAGGCTATAAGAGTGTTTAGCAAAGACTACAAGCGCCAAAGTCTCTTGGCAACGGATACGACATTAACTCGAGATTTTCGCAGAGCATTTCACATGCAATAAAACACCATCAAGCCGGTTATGTTGAGTTGAATGACTTGTACCTGGAAAATTTTGAAAATGACGGATATATTGATGAAAACGATCGACGTAGGCCATACCTCATTTCCTGGAAGGAGCTGTCAAAACAATTATCATATATGGTTTCAACAGCTATACGTGCCAGAAATTTAGAAAAATTTCAGAAAGCAAAAGTTTTATCACATACAACAGATTTAAAGGTGCACCTATGCATGTTACAGTGATCTTTACTCGCTCCACTGCCTACTTTTCCCAAGAATACAATGCGTATGTGCATAACTACTGGAAGCTACAAACAAAAATATATGTTAGAACACTGATGCTAGTATCGAATAGAATAAGATAACGCATTGGATATCGTAGAATTGAAAAGGATTCGCACTGAGCGCAGTCGCAGAGAGTCCTTGATACGGCAATTCTGTCCGTGCGCGGGTTAAATGATCCGAGAACAAAAACGAATAAAGAGGTAAATAGGCTAAATCCGAAAATGCGACCATCATATTCGAAGCAAAAGAACATAGAGTGAAATACGCGGTTGGGACCCATCAGATTTTGTCGCGACCATCAAATTCGAAGTAAAAGAACATAGAGTGAAATACGAGGTTGGGACCCATCAGATTTTGTCGTGGCACGGAAATGAGGGTTGAACGAAAAATTACTAGGAAAGCTTGACGAAACAATTGGAAAAATTCGAAGGCAGCGTCCAAGCTGATCCGTGGCATAAAATCATATATGGATACCTACTGAGATGTCTTCTGCGCCAATGCTCAAACAACAGTTCATAAAACTCAGTCGTGGGAGAAATTCGGCTGTAAACTCATGCCCAGACCGTTCCTTTGCGAGATTAGCATACCTTATTCAAGATTGAGTCTTGCTGACTAAAACTTAAGAGATGTTTTCAAAACAGTTGTGCGCAACGAAATTTGATGAGGACATATTCGATCGAGAACATTCTAGACCGAAAAGTTGGAAATCGATTCTTTCAAAAAACTTCCGAAAGCCTATCCGAGAACCGCCGTTTCTGCTTATCAGAAATGCCTTTCTTAGAAAGCCTATAAAATGATTCATAGCAAAACTCATGTTAGATGTATGCTAACATTCTGGTATTTTGAAATCTAACAAAAAGATTTCACCACATCAACGTCAGCTAATCAAAGGCAGCGTCCCGACAAATATCTAGACCTGTGGGGATTTTATGTGGAAAGTAATTTTGAGGTCCTAACTAGACACGGCTCAAGCGGCAGCGCAAAGGACTTACTAATGGCTGAGATATACGCCTCCAAACTGGGCCCCAGGATCATCTATCGGACAATCTGCATCGTGTTTCCATGTCGCGCGAGGACCCACGCGAAACTGATATGTCGCGCCATGAATCCATGCGATACGATCCTGAGTCCAGTTTGGAGGCGAACATCTCAGCTGGGTCCCAAAATTACTGTTCACGTGAGATCCCCATATGTCCAGATTTGCTAGACGCTGACTCAGATATGCTGCATTGCCCACCCAATTTCATCTGCACTATATTAATAATGCCTATTCTTAATGGGAGATTTTGCAAGAAACGGAAAATAGATTAGGGGCGAGAGCTGCCTTCGGAGAGATTTCTCATCCGATTCTTTGCAAAATCAGGCACTTCTAGGTCTTATCGATTTGAAAAAAATAAAAGCCCTTTCTCTAGACTTAAACGAAGTACTCTCCAAATCGACCCCATGTCGATACGTATGGCGCTTTGCATGGCGCATCGCTCTGATGAGAAGCGACAGCTTCAGTCTTATCCAAATTAGTGCAGAGTCAGCAAAAACGTAATCTCTGATGCTATATTCAGTAGCTTTAGATAACAAAAAGGTATAAAACACTTCTGAAGGATTTGACAAAGCAGGGCCGGCGCCAGAGAGGGGAATATTGTCATGCAGCATTAGAATTAGCTATTTCCGGCTGCTACGACTTTTTTCCACACTTCAACTGCCCTCCCCTAGGACAAGAAAAGAAAAA